GGAACGTTTTCTCCGAGAAGGGTGCCAACGTACCTCCTCAACGCCGCTTCCAACTTTTACAACATCGCGTCCGAGAGACAGCCCCGGCCGCAGGCCAGCGGGTCTGGATTTGCTGAGTGAAGACGAGCGCAGGGCCTGGGAGCAAGATCGATACAGGTTCCCCCCCTACCAGTATCAGCAGAAGAATCTCATTAAGGAGCCAGGAGGACACTTGAGGTTGTCAGACATTGTTGAGAGAGAGGTAATCATGGGATTTCCCATGAACTATACTTTCCAATGTATGAGCAAGCAGTTCCACGGCACAGAGGCCCACTTGGACGAGCGCAAGACACTGGTCGGCAACACGTGGAACGTCACCGTGGTGACCTGGTTGCTCTCTCAACTAGGGGGGCAGCTGGGCCTATGCTCCTTCCTGAGTCCCCAAGAGGCCGTAGACGTGACTACACCTGGGTCCAGCCACACCGTCGCTGGACTTTTGCAGAGGCCTCCACTGACGGCTCCTGCAACAGAGGGGAGTAGTCTTGGAAGCCGTACTCTGGTGGAGAAGCTCTTGAACCTAGTCAGTTTGAAAGGAGAGGATATCATGATCCAGGCCCCGTCGGAGGAAACACTCCGGTATCATCGTCTCCGAGCCAGCTTGCCCGCAGCACTATGGAAGTGGAAGACCATTACTGGGTGGCATTGGCGAGGCAGCCCCGAACACATCAACGTCTTGGAGATGCGGCCGGTTCTCACCACCCTGAGATGGCGGGTTGTGAAACGGAAGACTTTCAACTCAAAATTCATTCATATGATCGATAGTCTCGTGTGCCTTCACTCTCTGTCTCGTGGACGAAGCAGCAGCAGGAAGATGAGGAGAACGCTTTGTCGAATAGATGCTTTACTTCTAGCTTCTGGCAACCATGGAGTATGGGCGTATGTCCATACTTCTCAAAACCCAGCAGATCGGCCGTCCAGGCGGCCTGTTCGCAAAAAATGGTGAGAAGACAGACAGCGCACCTAGAAGGTAGAAGTAAAGCAGACAGACAGGAGCAGAGGAGACGTTTAGGCCCGCTTCGCAACCTCGCAGTACAGAGCAAGACTAGAGATCGATATAACAAGGCCCTGGACAAGTACAGGAGCTTCCTAAAGGACGAAGGACGCCTGTTCCCAAGAGATGCAGCTGGACAAGACTACCTCCTTTCCCAGTACATAGAGTTTTTATGGGAGTCGGGTGAAGGCCGCGCCCTCGCTTGTGACACAATAGCTTCCGTACAGGACCAGCAGCCGGCACTTCGAGGGCACCTTCCCAGCGCGTGGAGGCTGATGAAGACTTGGCAGACCAATGAAATACCAAACCGGGCACCACCGTTGCCGGTCGACGCGCTGCACGTTCTCGTTGGGTATGCACTTTTTTCTGGAAATGGACTCTTTGGGCTCTCACTACTCCTTGCCTTCCACGGGCTCCTGCGCACCGGGGAGCTCCTGTGGATCCGAAAGAACCATGTCACTCAAGTAGGACCCAGGTCTCCGGCCGTCATCTCTCTTGGAATGACTAAAGGAGGCAAACGAGTAGGAGCAAGTGAAAGTGTTACAATCAGAGAAGAAGAAACCCTTCGACGACTATGGCAGTGGTTGCACACTCCTCAAACCCCATCTTTGCTCTGTGGGACGGCCCACAGTTGGAGAAAGACTTTCAATGACTCCTTAGAAGCCTGTCAGCTTCAAGGGCACGAGTTTCGCCCTTACAGCCTTCGAAGAGGAGGGGCCACCATGTATTTTGGACGACATGGCTCATTAGATCGCCTCCTAGTTCAGGGGAGGTGGGCCTCATCCAAGACGGCCCGGATCTACATCAACGAAGGTTTGGCCGTGCTTGCTGAACTAAAGCTGACTTTTAACGCACCAGCCAAAGCATATGCCCGACAGTATACTAAGTCCCTGATGTCACCGCTCCAAACCCTTGAGCTTCCCCCAAAGGGGAGGCCAGGGGGACGTGGAAAGAAGCCTAAGAAAGGCAAAAAGAGACACCACAAGTAGCTCAG